TATTCACAAGGAATTATTGATTTGTATAAAGGGCAAGTAAGGCCGTCTCCTCAGAGACTGGGAATATTTGTCTCTTTTAAAATCTACAGTAACACGGGGGGTGTTTTTGTAAAAAAGATGACAATTTAAGCAGTTCGAATAAAATCAAATAGCTAACTAAAAATTAAATGATAATTTACTAAAATGAGATTAATTATAACTAAAGATCTAGCCAAGAAATAACTTCAGCAATGGTTCACCTAATTGATCATCGATGCAAAGGCAATTCCAATTATTTACAAATAAATAGATTATAACTGCCAAACAAGCGATGACAGTCAACTCCTCCTTACTGTGTCGGTGATTAAGGTACGCCAATTAATCACTGCTCTAATTGAGAAACAATCCTAGGTACGCCTAAAAGATTTAATTCTCCAATTGCCTTACATATTAGAGGAGCCCTATTCTAGCCAAATAACACACTACCAGGGTTATTTTAGATTAGCTCGCGTATTCCCCTGACACAAATCCAATCATGCCAGTTGTCACTATTTCAGAGCAATTAAACAATTACGGATTTAATGCACTAATTGACAATAAGTTATTAAATCAATTTATTATCCGGATCCAAGCTAATCAATTAATTAAACAACCATAAACACTGCAATCAGAGAATATGCAAATACCAATAAATAAGATGAATAGATAAAATTAATTCAATCTCACAGTATTTAGACGAATCAAAACCTCCGTTGTTCCTTGACTAGAAAAGGGGATTTAGTTCATCCCTAATGAGAAAAAGCCACACAAATTTGTGGAAACAGTTGCGGCCATTGTTTTCAATTCGTTGGCAATAGAGAACAGTCAATAAGACGAAAAAATCTAAAGCTAAAAGTAATGAAAAGTGGTCTGCCGAATCTGCCTATCTAATTCCTATCTACCCAATTGTTTACCCTCTACGGCTATCCAACAAAACAAAGGAAAAGCAAAGTCCTAGCCCTTGTTGACTTCCGTTTCCTCTTTTGCCGCAGCCAACAAATTAGGAGATCTCCTAATTGGCACATCTTCTATTTGTGTTGAGCTTCCCTTGTCAATTCAAATCAATCGAGCAACTAATGGAATGTTTGTGGCCTCACGTTGAACTTCCACTTGGCAGTTAGTGTCACGCATCTTTCTTGCATTTTCTGGGCACGTTGAGGTTTGACTTGACGCGACTACGCCAAACAACAATTGGAGTGGGAAATTTGCACAGTTACACCACATTTTATTTCAACTCCCTGTAATAAGCACAAATATCAAAAGTGAGTAAAATCTGACAATTACTCCACAGTTGATAAGGTAATGGGGGATATTAAGCATAAAATAAATGATAAAATTGCAACCTATCAAAATTGCGTGCCGCCTCCTGAAATGAAGCAAGGGAAATTTCATCACAGTAACTTCAGCGGTGATGAAGTCGTTACTTTGAGCCTCAATTTAACTAGTCTAGAGCTGTTTTCCCTCAGAAATTTGTGAACGAAATTTCTTCTATTGTCTCCCAAAAGAGCGCAGAAGCGAAAAGATTCCTCAAAAGATTCCTCAAAATCGAAGGAGAAATTTGGCCTCGAAACAGGCTAGTTCGTCAACCTGGTGACGAAAACTTTTTGCTACAACTTTCTTATTTTCCTCTTACTCGATCTCCCCTCTCTTTTTCTTTCTTTTGCTTGTCCCAAACTCTCTGTTCTCCCCCAGATTCTTCCTCAGATTTCCCCCCTTCCTTTCTTTCTCTTCTCTTTTCTTTTTTTTCTTTCCTCTCTTGCTTGTTCCCGAAACCCTTTTCCTCTTTTTTTTTCCCAGTTTCTCTCTCGTTTTTCTGTATCTCTCCGCAATCTCTCCCTTTCTTGCTGTCTCCAGATTCTCTCATCCTCTTCCTCTCTTGTTTCCTCCTTTTTTCATTCCTTTCTCTCCTTTCTTTCTTTTCTTTCTCGAAACTCTCTTTTTTCTTATCCCTCTTTTGTTCCTTCTCCCTTTCTCTGCCGAAACCCCTCTTGTTTTTTCTTTTTTCAGATTTTTCCTCCAACAAAACCCATAGCTGTCTTGCCACCTAGCCTCTTGCAAGTGTTGTGGTGTGCAAAAAGACAAAAATACATAGCTAACATTCACTCAATCCACCTAGTTACCTTGCATGCATTCCACCTATTTTCTTGTTTTTATTTTGTTTTTCAAAGCAAATTTAGGGTACACAAAAATGTTAAATTCCTATTTGAGATTGCATTGCAAATTTTTATTTTATTTTGAAGAAATTGAATTTGAAAAGATTGAAAATAAATTTTTGTGAGAATTTTCTTTTTCGAAAATTATTCTTTAAAAGAAAGTGAACCTAATTCAATAAAAGTAGCTAACTATCATTTTGCGAAATTTGGTTAAATAAAAATTAAAATTAAAATTAAATTAAATTAAAATTTTTGTGTCTACAACTTGTCACTCTTTGTTTGAGTTTCGAAGAAATTCAAAACAAAGACATAGACACCAAATGCTTACCTACTATTCTGCCGTAAACTGAAACAAGCAAACTTATAAAGATCAGTGGGATAAAATTCGAACCTGCCGAAAAGTTGATCAATTGGATAAAACCCGAGCCTCCATAAAATTGGTCAGCGGGATAAAACCCGAACCTGCCGAAAAGTTGATCAATGGGATAAAACCTTAGCTTGCCATAAAATTGGTCAGTGGGATAAAATCCGAACCTGCCGAAATTGGTCAGTGGGATAAAACCCGAACCTTTCGAAAAATTGAAAAATTATTGTAAAATTTTTTTTGTGAAACTTCGAAGATTTAGATGGAGACAGATAACTCTTCTAAAAAATTTGCCCCAGTGTGATGTTATTGGACATTTGGACCTGCAAAAAAGAAATAATCATAATGACAGATAATGTCACCACCATCCGATCAAACCCTTCTTCAAAAAATGTGTAAACATGAGTATTCGAACGTTCTTCCTCGATGTAGTGAAAACTCAACCTTACTCTGCGAACTATATCAAGTTTTCTTAACTTCAATGCTAATCAAATATGACATTTGGTATCCAAGCACTCTTAATAAATCATAAGGATTGCCATCTGATAAACCTAACGAGATAAATGAAACCATAAAACACATGAAAAAATATTTTATTTATACAAAAAAGATAAAAATTCCAGTAACATAAAACAACCATTTACCTTTATTGAAAGAAAATTGATTTTAGAGAAATGAACCTGTAAACTCAACAGTTTATACTTGATGAACTAAAACACTTTGATCTCAAACAAAATGCTACGTTTAACCCTTTGAATATCGTTCCTCCGGAATTCAATGCTAGCAACAAAACCACAACCGTGAAGAGAAATTCAAATGAACTGAGTCACCAGCCATTTCCATGCTAACTTTTCCTCATAAAACCCTACCTTAACGTCCTTTCGGGTTTTCATTAAAACTACCCCCACCTTTTTGTTTTCTTTTTCTTTTGCTTTCATTTTCTGTTGTTTTTCCTTTTTCTTTTCCTTTTCTTCTTTTTTTCTTTTTCTTGTTTTTGAAAAGGCACCCTGTTGGATTTTCACCTAATGAACAAATCTTGCCAACAGCCTTTATCAACTCAGCAATGTGTTTTAAGAAATGATGGCATTAGTGCAATAACCCTTCCCTTACAAAATTAGTGAAGGTGTATTGATATCATTTGCCATGTAATTAGAAAATTTTTTGAAAGAGGTGATGTAAAGAACGGAAGTCAGAACTTCCAATTTTTCGTAATGTGATCAGGTAATGTGCCAAGAAAAGTTTAAAACTTGAAGGTAGATTTTATAAGTGTTTAAATCACCTGAAATCGCATCTCCATATTAACCCTACTCAGGATTAAATTAAAATTGCCCCAATTTATTTTCAACCGAAGTTATTTTCTTTAATTTTCTTTTCCTTTTGCTCCTCTATCACTTTTCAACTCTTGAGGTTTTTCTTTCCTTTTCTTTTAACTCAAACTTGCCCAGTGTGGGGTTTGCAATTCTCAGGGGTTTCCAAACGAAATAATTCATTTTGAAGGTTCAAAAGGGATAACTAGGGATAGAATGTTTCATTGAAAAGAAAGGCCTGACTTTCATTCCCTTCTTCGTATTAACTTTGAAAGAAAACTTCCATTTATCAAATGATCTTACATATATCCAAATTGATCGGTTGAGGGAAAACTTGTCCATCCATTTTTGCAAAAACAAGTGCTCCACTAAGCAATACCTTCTTGACGATAAAAGGGCTCTACCAATTTGGTGCAAACTTGCCTTCGGGCTCCTCTTGCACTGGCAAAATTCGTTTCAACACTTTGTCTTTTTCTTCAAATAATTGCGGTTTGAGTTTCTTGTTGTAAGGACGGGCCATTCTCTTTTGATAGTACTGACCATGACAAATGGCATTTAACCTTTTCTCATCAATCAAAGACAACTGCTCATGACGTTGTTTAATCCAATCTGCTTCATCTAGTTTGGTCTCCATTAGTATGCGCAATGAAGGAATTTCAACCTCAGCTAGCAAAACTGCTTTTATTCCGTACATGAGGTTGTAAGTCGTTGGCATAGTAGAAGTCCGAATAGACGTTCTATATGCCATTAATGCATAGGGGAGTTTTTCGTGTCAATCACGATGTCTTTCGGTTATTTTACAGATTATCTTTTTCAAGTTCTTATTCGTTGCCTCCACCGCTCCATTCATCTGTGGTTTATAAATAGTAGAATTTCGATACTTAATTTTGAACTGCTTGCACAATCCATCCACCATGTCATTGTTGAGATTCTTTGCATTGTCTGTGATTAATATTTATGGCACGCCAAAATGACAAATGATGTGTTGTCTTAGAAAATCTGTCACCACCTTCTTAGTCACGTGCTTGTAAGACTCAGTTTCAACCCATTTGATAAAATATTCAATTGCCACCAAAATAAATCGATACTCCTTTGAAGCAGGAGGGTCAATGGTTCTAATTACATCCATACCCCACATTGAACATGGCCAAGAAGCAGTCATACTATGTAGTTCTGTGGGAGGAGTGTGCATAACATCTCCATGCAATTGACATTTAATGCACTTTCTGACAAAATCTACACAATCATGTTCCATAGTAAGTCAAAAATATCATGTACTCATAATTTTCTTTGCTAATAAATGCCCATTCATATGTGATCCATATACACCACTGTGCACTTCTTTCATCAAATAATCTGCTTCATCTTCATCAACGCATCTTAGAAGGCCCAAGTCTGATGTTCTTTTGTATACCATCTCTGCATTTAAGAAAAACTTGGATGATAATTTGCGCAAGAAATTTTTAGCAGTCGTATCAGCACCTGGAGGATAGGACCCAGTTTTGAGAAATTTCTTAATATCACTGTACTAGGGACGCCCATCAGAAGATTTTTCCATAACCAGACAATGTGCAGACTTTTCTTGTAATTGAATTTAGATAGGGTCAATCACCAACTCATCTGGATGTTGAATCATTGAAGATAAAGTGGCCAAAACACCAACAAAAATATTTCGAGCACGTGAAATATACCTGAACTCCAAACTTCTGAATTTATTTGTCAAATCCAGTAAATTGCAATGATATGGCAAAATCTTTGAATCTGGAGTTATCCATTCTTTGAGCGTTTGATGCACGAGCAGATCGAAATCATTGAATACTATTAAATCCTTGATCTCCATCTCCAACACCATTTTTAGTCCAAAAATACAAGTTTCATATTCAGCCATATTGTTGGTGCAGAAAAATTGCAGTTTAGCCGAACCAGAATAATATTTTCCTTCAAGCGATACTAGAACAGCTCCGATCCCAACTCCAAAAGAATTTGAAGCACCATCAAAGAATAGTCTCTACTCAGGGCATTGCTCATTCATATCTTCCGCTATACCAACAAGCAGGACCTCCTCATCCGAAAAATAAGTGTGAAGCGGTTGATAATCATCTTCCCTTGGATTTTCAGCCAAATGATCTGCTATAGCCTGCCTCTTGATTGCCTTTTGCATGGTAAAAATGATATCGAATTCAGAAAAGATCATTTGCTATTTAGCCATGCGTCCGGTGGGTATTGGTTTCTCAAATAGGTATTTCAAAGAATCTAAACGAGAGATAAAATAGGTGGTGTGATTAAGCAAATAATGCCTCAGTTTCTGAGCTGCCCAAGCCAATGCAAAGCAACTCCTTTCAACAAATAAGTATTTTGCCTTGTAAGGTATAAACTTCTTGCTAAGATAATAAATGACTTATTTTCTTTTCCCAGAATCGTCGTGTTGCCCCAAAACACATCCCACAACCTCGTCAAGCACAGACAGATACATAATCAAAGGTCAACCCGGTTTGGGTGGCACTAAAACCGGAGGGTGCAACAAGTAATTATTGATCTTATCAAAAGGTTGTTGGCATTCTTCACTCCAATACAATGACACATTCTTATTCAATAATTTAAACAAAGGTTCACATGTAGAAGTCAATTGAGCAATGAACCTGCCAATAAAATTAATTTTTTCCAAAAAACTCTTCACATCCTTTTGTATTTTTGGCACTGACATTTCACGAATTACTTTAATTTTTGTCGGATCTATCTCTATACCTTTTTTACTGACAATGAACCCCAATAATTTGCCGGCAAGAGCCCTGAAACCGCATTTCGTAGGATTTAATTTTAAATTATATTATCTCAATCTTTCAAATAACTTTTTCAAATTAACCAAATGATCCTCCGCTATCTTGGATTTCATTATGATATCATCCATATAAATGTTCATCTCCTTATGAATCATATCATGGAACAAAGTGATCATAATCATTTGATAAGTAGCTCCAGTATTTTTCAATTCGAATGGCATTACTCGATACCAAAATGTTTCCCATGGAGTGATAAAAATAGTTTTCTCTCTATCCTCTTCTGCCATTAGAATTTGATGGCATCCGGTGAAACAATCGTCAAAAGACTCGATCTCATGCCCAGCGGTGTTGTCCAAAAGGATACGTATTTGGCAAGGAAAAATCATCTTTCTGACTAACCTTATTCAAATCTCGATAGTCAACACATACCTTCACCTCTCCACTTTTCTTCAGGACAGGAACTGGATTTGAAAATTAAATAGGATAATGAGATACCATGATAATTCTGTCATTGAGTTGCTTCTCAATTTACTCATTGATTTTAAGACTTATGTCTAGTTTAAATTTACGAGGCTTCTGTTTCACCGGTGAAAAATTTGGGTCTATTGGCATTTATGAACCACTATATCTGGAAATACTCGTCATGTCATCATAGAATCAAACAAACACATCTTTAAATATGGTCAAGAATTCAATCATCTTTTTTTCTCTACTTCTTATTCAAATGAATGCTAATTTTTATCTCCTTGACGTCGATCTCAGTGCTAATATTAATGATTTCTATTTTTTTTTTAAGTTCGGTTTGAATTTCTCTTTATATTGTTCAAAATTCTTTTACAAAGACTTAGATTCTTCCTCGTTATCGCTCTCGTCTTGAATTTTTGATTCCATAATTTCGAATTCGTGAGAGATATCGAGATTACAATTATCAAATTTCGGAATAGTGGTATCCAAAGGGTCAATGTGTTTTACTTTTGGCCATCTGAAAAAGAATGAGATAGATATAATAATGCGTAAGTAAAACAATTGGAAAATGAACACTGTGCATTTCATTGAATTTCAAATAAAGGACAAAACGTCATAATATGCTGCTTAACAAAAGGTACGCTACTTAACATAAGACTTGTATTGAAAAGACATTTAATTCAAAACTATTTACAAAACTGAAAAGCAAAAGATGAACAATACAAATGATTTCTTTCATAACTCTCAACCAAAGGCAATCCCCTAAATTTACTGAAATTCCCTTCAGGTGGGAAGAAAATCACTGGTCCAATTCTTCATTGCTTCTTCATTGCTTCCCTGGAGACTTCTAAAAATTCTGGATTCTCTAATAGCTCGTCCTCATAAGTAACCCCCCACGAATAGTTTAGACAAATTGATATCCACCTTATCGATCTGATCCAATTCAGATCCAATTACCTCCGATGGATGGGAAAAAGTGTAGTGCAATGGTGGGATACTCCTGATAATTTGCTTTCCTTCCGTTTTCGCTCTCTTGTGATCCAGCATTTTTTTCTTGTCCCTGGAAGTAGGTTGAAACCCTAGTCCAAAAGTATCTTTCTTTTCTGAAAACTCTATTGGTTCTAGAATTCCCTGCAAGTTATGGCCGAGACTCTTGCCTATCTCGTATTCTTCTCGAATCATTTCTTTAGCCATCATAATGCTGGTTTCTGGCAAATTCATTTCCACCACTGACTTGTCTTTAGATGCCAAACCTACTGAAATGATATCAGCCACATGATAAGGAGAAACCAAAGCTTTTCTACCACTTTTCTCTGTTGGTTCGGGATTGACGATCATAGTTCAATCATTCTCTGCAAACACTGTGATTAATTGATCATTCACTACAAACCTCAATATCTGATGGAGCAAAGACGGTATAGCACCCGAAGCGTGAATTCAAGGTCGTCCAAACAGAATATTATAAACACTTGAGAAATTCATGACTTGGCACATGACTTGGAATTGGGCAGGTCCTATTTCCTGTACTAAGTCCACTTCTCCCATTGATTTTCTTTTTGTGCCATCAAATTCTCTCACCACAGTTGTAGACGGCCGAAGTTTAGCTTCTTGAAATCCCAATTTAATCAAAATATTCCATGGATAGATATTCAAAGTAGATCCGTTGTCTATCAAAACTTTGAACAATAACTTTCCATTACAACGGATTGAGATATACGATGCTTTGTTATGTCCAATCCCCTTAGAAGTTAAATCCTTGTCAGAAAAAGAAATCTGATTTGAAGCCAAGACATGATCGACTACATGGGTGAATTTGTCAATCGGAATATTTTTAGGCACTTGAGCCTCAGTTAATACCTTGAGTAGAGTTTCTCTATGAAGTTTCGAAGTTAAGACCAGATTCAACATAGAAATTTGAGTAGGCATTTTATCCAATTGTTCGATCACTTTATATTCGCTTTTCTTCAATATCTTAAGAAAATTGAATGCCTTTTCTTCAATCACAACTAACCTTGTTGGCGCGGAATTTTCCTTTGCTTTTGATGGCTCGTTAATTGTAGATCCATTTATGATTCTTCTAGATCTAGTGACGGCGGCTACCTCCTTCTTTGGCATTTCTCTTCCAATCAATAAAATAGATTTACTATAATTCCATGGGACTTCTTGTAGGTTAAGAACAGACGCTTGTTTAGGCAATTCAAATACCATAAGTTCTGAACGCTCACATTCAAAAGCTATCACATCTAAAATAAAAAAATTAGCATTTTTCTTGACCTCGAAGGTTTCTTCTTCCAGTATGAACGGTTCTCTAATGACCCCTATTATCCCAATTTCATCTACAATGTATTGAGTAGGTTTCTCGATCTTCTCTTCAATGGTAATAACTCTGACAGTATCCTTGTGTGTAGCAGTATCCTTATGCGCAGGAAGAGGATTCTTGCTAACATTCGGTCCTTGTTCATCTCTTCTTCTTAAAACTATGTTTTCGGCCTCAATCATGTCTTGAATTTTATGCTTAAGTTCCCAACAATTGGCAGCAGAATGTCCAGGAGCTCCAGAGTGATAAGTACAAAAAGATTAAGGATCATAACCAAGGGAAAATCCTCTAGGATAGACTTTAGGAGCTATCGTATCATTTTTTCCCGCAACTTTGAGCTATTCATATAACTGATCAATGGGCCGATCTAAATTGGTGAAAGTTCTGTATGGGGTTGGGGTATCATTGATTTGTTGATAATTATAATTCTGGTTGGCTAGTGAAGCAGGTCTTAGATTATAAGGAGGGCGAGGTCTAATTTGAAAGTTAGATAGAGAAATATGAAATGGTGTTATGGTTGTGTTTGGGTAATTTGGTCGAGGTCGAGAATGGTTAATAGTAGTATGATAAACAGGTTGAGAGCGTGGATATTATGGGTAACGAGATGGATAGGTGAGATATTGTTGGTATCTAGTTCGGGAAGAAAAGCCTTGGTCCCAAACAAATGAAGCCTCCCCCTCTTTCTTTTTGAATTGAGGTTTCTTGCTACTGTTGCTTTGATTTTGCAAAGCTTCTAATTGCGATTTCAGAACTGACATATTAACAATCTTTCCCACTCTTACGAACTCATCATACTCCTCCAATTTGTTAACAATTTTTGCAAATAAACATCCAGTCATGCGAAAAATTTTCTCAAAATATGGCGGGTCATGAGTTTTGATAAATGTACGAACAATTTCTTCTTCATTCATAGGAGGTTCCACCTTGGCAGCCAATTTCCTCCATCGCTTTGCATATGTCTTGTGATTCTCAGATGGTTTCCTTTTAGTCCCCTCAAGTGTGGTTCTCGTCAGAGCAAACTCACAATTATACTCATATTGTCTTACAAAAGCGGTTGAGAAATCCAACTCCAACCATGTTCTCATCTCATCAGACTTCAAATTGGAGTACCAATAAAGTGTATCACTTTCTAAACTTTCAGAAAATAATCAAACTGGCAAATTCTCGTCATCTATTGGCTTTCCTAATTTGTTTGCAAACATTCAGATATGTGTCTTGGATTGTCCGTTCCGTCATACTTGTTAAATTTGAGTGTTTTAAAAGCCATAGGCAGTTGCATAGCAGGAAACA